AAAAAAAAAAAAAGCTGGAAAACATATTTCCACCAAAACCAAGAGAAAACAAAATCCTCAAAAAGCTAGAAAACTGGCGCGTGAAGGTGGCTGGTGGAAAACAAATTGCTGGCAAAAGTTTGGCTATCAAACAGCCATAAAGTTGGAAAATGGAATTTATTTTCCAACTTCCCTAGAAAACTATGCACATCAAACACAGCCTAAGAGTAATCTTGTCGGTTCAAATTCATTTTCTCTATATGTTTCAGAAAATGAAACAAGTGCTTTCAAGTTTCTAATAGTAACACCAATAGGCATATCCTCATTTTGTAACATTTTTCTTATTCTATTAATAGCAGACACAATATTGTCCCAAATAATCATACCAAATAAGAACCCAAAATTCATAATGTCATAAGTTAAACTTTTAGAATTTCTAAATATCTTAGTGTCATCACATGTTTCCACGAAGTATTTTAAAACAATTTTGATTTCTGACGATTGAAATCTTATTGCTTCAATACTTTCAACTTAATGTTCTTTAACGTGTTTTTGGTAGTGACTTGAGTTTTAGATATTTCACATTATTCTGAAAAAATTTCATTACTTTGTAGAATACACACACATATATACACATAAACCCTTGAAAGTGGCGTAGTGGAATATCAGTAACAATTGGTGGACCAGGGGACGGATCCTGATCTCCAACTAGCTTCCACGAAGAATGGGGCTATCTACGAAGAATCAATGCTAGTTGGTGGAGAATAAGATTTTTTCCCCTTTTTTCTAAATTTTTCTTTTTGTCAATTGTTTTTGCGATTTGTTTGTTCATTTTGAAAAGATTTACCTACAATTTTTGCTTTATTTTTTCGTTGAGTTACTTCTCTCTTTTTTTGTTTATTTAAATATGAAGATAATGACTGATGATAAAAGAATTTGATGATAGATTAGTAATAACATACAAAGGCTGGGAACGGAAATGCACATTTTAAAAAAAAAAGGAAAAGAATAGTGACGATCTAGTAGAAGTGTAGGAAGTGTAATTCTGAATCATTTCACGAATATCTTGGCAATTTGTGTCGATATGTCTTATACGTTAGACAATTGGTGTCAATGAGTCTTAAACGTTTACGAGAGACTAGATGAACTTCACAATTGAGAAATGGTTTTTAGGCTTCGTTTGATACACCATATTTTCCATGGAAAATGAATTTTTTTTTTTCCATTTTCTAACTTTTGTAGTGTTTGATAAGCAAAATTTTCCCGGAAAAATGTTTTCCAACTTGAGGAAAACAAATTCTTGATGTTTTGGTTGGTAAATATTTTACAGGTTTTTTTGGCAATTGGAAAAAATTCTAGACACAATGGTAAAAAAATTATCACTTTTATTGACAATTTCCATACAAAACAAAACCAAACGAATGGTATTCAGTATGGTAATTTTTTTCAATTTTTTTTTTTTTTTTTTTGCAATTGAAACAAATTCTAAACTCAATAGTAGAAAAATTATCATTTTAATGGACAATTTCCATTAAAAACGAAATCAAACGGACACCAAACTTTTATGAAAAATTATACCAATCAAACACAATTAATTATAATTCCCAACAAAACAATTTTTAGGCGAATCAATTCCCTATAAAATATTTTCTTTCCATCCATTTTTCATATTTGCAATCAAACGGTCTCTTAGTCAACAATGACCGACTCAATGCACACCTTTGCATACCAAGGGGGGTCCTGGGGGCCCCCCAATTTTGAGATTCCTTTTTTTGTTTTTTTAAATTACGTTTGTTATCGATTGAAATTTAAATTTTAATCTAAATCAAAGTTTACAATTAATTTTAATAACATATTTCATGGAATTCATTATTATTTAATTTGTACCAAAATTTACTAAAAATTTGATTTTAATCTCCACCAAACAGGGGTAAAATCAAAATAATTTGAATTTCGAAATATATAAATTTTAAAATTTTTCCGACGATCGTACGCTAAACGAATCTACAAACAAGTATTATTTCGAAACTTATTTCAAAAATGATATTATGGACATATCAAATAGTTCAAACATATATCGAAAATAATTAAAAATACGTTAAACGTAAACCTTTAAAAAGACGTCTAACTCGCATTTTTTTTAAAAAAAAATTCAATTGTTAAATTAACATTTATTATTTTTGCGATACAAATTTCTCAATATAATTTTCATCATTTTATTAGGAAATTTTCAAAAAAATTCGAAATTTTACATTCTAAATAGTCATATCCTATATAAATTTTTGGATGTAAAATTACATGGAGTATGATTTTTTTGGACGTAAATTTTCTATTATAAAATTTCTGCCAACTTTTTTGTAAGTCCGATTGTGCCCCCAACGTTAAAGTTCTGCGTCCGTCCCTGCACCGTTGTGCGATCGCTTTCACAATTTGATCTCTCACTCGAGGAAAGATGGCCAAAGTTTATCATTTAATAGCAATCAAAATTAAATTGTTTTTTGTTGTAACATTAATATCGACAAGACCCTAGACTTGAAAATTAGAAAACATTGCCAAATCACAAGTCATCTTTTCTCGTCTTAAATTGCCGTGACAAACTGGAAACAAGAATTGCCGTAACAAACTGGAAACATGAACAATGTTTGACCATAGATCTAATCAAATATCTTGATTTCACGTACAAATCAAGATATATGATATATTTAATCGTTTCCTTAAGTTGACAAAATAATTAAATAATAATTTGCATTCGCTGATTTAGAGGATCCGTTGTACAGGGCTGATGATGACACACGCAGACACGCACGCGTGTATATAATATACGTAGAAGGGGTGGCCGGGGAGACAGGGACGACCCCTCAGCCGCAGGTCATAATCATGTTTTCTGATTATTTTTACTTCTTTCAACCTTTCCCTTTCCACCCCCTCACCTAACCAATCTTTTTGTTTCCTTTTTCTTTTTTGGTCGTCAGTTCACCTGCTTCTTCCACCGTGTATGTATTCTATTCAATTCCTTCCAGACAAAAAATCAAATAATAAACAATTGAATTCACATTCACATTCCTCACAATGCGTTTAATAATTAAATCACGCTGCAAGCAAAAAAAATTTTGACAAAAAACTTTGACAGACAACCCAGCAAGAATTGATTGAAAGATGAAAAGGAGAAAAAACAATCCAATCATCTGCTGTCAACCCAGCAAGAATTTGATTGGAGGATGAAAAAGAGAAAAAACAATCCAATCATATGCTGTCACCTATTCTGTAAAGAATTTTCTTGTACTCGGGGCCTTTTTCCTTACTCATTACTACAAAGAATAATGCTATTTGCAGTCGCTTTATGTGGCACACACATGTCAAGTATGTATTTAATGCATTAATGTAATAAAAAAAATTACAAAATTAATGCATCAAATACATACTTAATATGTGTGTATCACATAGGGCGGCTGCTGCAGTGAGCGACTATGAATAGCATTTTTTACAGTTCAATGCTGTTGAGTGTTGACCCATTTCGATTTTCACAGATGCCACTGTTTTTTTAATGAACCCCTTAACTATTTATGATTACGGGTGGAGCTTTACTGAATGAATGTGTGTATCATTTACTGTTTATCTGGTCACCCACTCCATTTCTTGTAGTGGGTTGTCTGCATTTAATTGCTTTTGCCCCTTTACATATTTTGTTGCTACAGATTTCAGACAAACTGCCTCTACCTTGAGTTTTGTTGAAAGAATTTTTTGATCTTAGTATTGTAAATCTCTTCGAATGGGATCATAGAGCAATGCGATTTGCTCGAATACTAGTGCACAAATACACTGTCGGTGGTGCTGCTGCATGATTTTTGTTGTCTTTTAGGGTGTGATAATGGGTGGGTTATGTGAAAATAGTACAACTGCAGTGCCAACGGAGTGGCCATCTACTCCACCCCATCTTAAACCTCCACCACTTGAGTACAGTTTACAGAGGTGAGATCAGAATTTGACACAGTTTATCTTCATTTTTGTTAATTTGATCAATCTACAGTTCGTGTTCATTAGCTGTTTTTATTGACTAATCTATGGTCGAGTGATGAAAAATGATTCATGTAATGAACTACAAAGGTTCTACAATTTTTCAGGGCTTGTAACAGTCAGCTGCTGAAGGATGATGTTCTTAATGTATCGCCGAGACCTTCCAACTATAGAAATCCAGTGAGTATTTTGTTCCTATTAGCTCATTCTTTAATTTGATTTGATTTTTACTTAATTTATTTAATTTCTTTTCTTTTGTAGACAGCCAATTTGTCACTTAGTTCTTAAATTTCTTTGCCAGGAAATCAGGAATTTCCCATGTTCTCTTGCATGTTGCTTGTTTTGGAAAAAAAGGAAAAGAAATATATTTGCTAAAATTTTGTAATTTGTGAATATTCTTTAAACAGATTAAGCAGCATTTAAGGTTCAGCACTTTAGAAGTAAAAGGGTTATAATTTTCATTTAAAAACACATAATCTTTATAGTGCAAATACCAAATAATAAATCCGGAAGTCTGTTCTCTTTGTGTTTCAGTTTTGAGTTTTGAATTCATTTTGGATTTTGAGTGCCTATTTTGAGATTGTTGAAAACGCATTCTTTTTGTCATTTTGAAAAATTATTTTCAAAAATTTAAAAATGAAGTTTTGGCTTGGTTTTAACTGAAAACAGTCAAAATGACTTTTTTGGCGTTTTCTTTTTTTTTGTAAATTTTAAACTAAAATAGGTAAGTAAACGTGTTTTCAGTGTTTTCGAAAATTGAAAACTGAAAATGGCCCAAAAACAACGCGCTGTACCACTTTTTGAAAATCAGGTGGGTATTTCGTAAATTTTGTTCTTCTGCTCAATAGTTTATATCTTTTCTTAAGAAAATGTTGGAATTTAGCTGTTGTAAGAATTTGTTAGCTTACAATCAGAAAATTGATTTCTCTTATTATTGTTTCTCAATTACAATTCAACATTGTGTATAATTCTGACACAGAGTTTACGTATGGGGAGGACATTCCGTGATAAATCATCCATTTGCTGGGACTCGCAGAAGGAGCAGTGCTTTGAATCAGCCGCTGCTCGTCTTTCAGATAGCATGCCGACATCTAAGGTTATGGCCTTGGATATCTCTTTTATTCAGCTCTTAAATTTCATGTATGAATTTGGTATTTTAGGATGTGTTCCTGTAGAAATACACTGTTCGGTGATTACAATAGTTCATGAATTGCGTATTTTTCAATTGCTTTCCTAAATTTTCAAATGGCACTTTGGTAAACCATTTTTTTGTTTGGAAATAGTAATAATCATTTGATCAACATTTTTGCTGAGTTAAAAAAATGGTTATCCTTTTACACTGAATGATATTAGATTAAATAGCTGTTAGAACACGAACGACAGTATCAGTAGGATCGATATCTAATGGATATCAATCATCAACTGGGATCGATATCTAATGGATCTATGAAAATGATAATAAGAATAGTATTTCAGATTGCATCACTTTGACTGTGATTCGTTTTTTCTTTCTTAATTTTAATTTATCACACGTTAGCTGAACTAATTTATTTACTTGGATGTCTACTGCAGTCCTCAGCAGAAATGGTTAAAGAAATTGCCACACTTGAATTTGAAATTGTGCAATTGGAACGCTATCTTCTTTCTCTTTATCGGACAGCTTTTCAGCAGCAACTCCCAGGAACATTAGGAAACCGCGGAACACATTTACAGCAAATGAGTGGAACTCTACAGGTTAAGGCTGAAAAATCATCTCTGAAAGTGGAACTCGACATGTTAAAAGGTTACGATGATAATCACAGTCAAATTTCTCCTTCGAGTGCTTTAGCAGGCTCGAGTGATCTGGTGACAGTGGCTACTCCGAAGTCATCATCTAGAAGGGTTAATTTACCTCTCCCCTTATATGTTTTAAATATACCTGGCTTGTTCACGTAGTCTAATTTGTCCCTATCAAATTGGGTTAAAAGCACTGTTACTCACACTCAACTGTAGTGAAGTTTCGTCTTAGTCATCTATGTTTATTTTGTTCCAAAGTGATTACCGAATTTTGATTTTTGTTTCAGGTTGGTCACTCATCTAAAATACGTTAATCTTTCTGATGAAATGTCTGACATGGAGACGACAATAGATGTGTCATCAACATGGAGGTCTTCCACATGAAACATTATTTAGAAAAAATAACGAATTCTAACCAAGTGACCAAACTGAAACAAAGGCAAATGATAGAATCCTGCTGGTGACTGATTCCTACAGAAGAACAGATCACAGCAAGGAAGACACCAACACCAGATGATGTGAAATAGGCTTTATATTCTGTAATTGAAGAACTATGATTACAGAAGATAGGTAGATGACAGAAATACAGGATTCTAATGCTATGTAAAGCTACTCAGCAACAATGAAATGAATAAAAGATAGTTGGGTATTCGAGAGACCCAATACTCTCCCCTAGATCCTTCTTAATATTTTCCCCCATTTCCGTGTTATTTCCCCCTTCTATTTATAAGCACAGGCTATGTGCTGCTCTAACAGATACTCCAACCTCTCATAAGTGCATGTGCTGAGTTATCCCATTCTAGTTTCCCTTTCTTGCCCCTGCTCCACCTTTGCACCTTACATATTTGAATTGAATTGGTGTTCTATCGGCAAATTCACTGACTATTTCACGACAAGAAAAAGCATAAAACTTAGACTAACAATGTTTTTAACCCTATAAAATCACATTTTTTGCAGCATTGACATCCATTTTTATGTTTTTCTTTTCTGAAGGCATTCATTGACTGACAGGAAATATTTGTGATGAATAATTGCAGGAGAAGAATTGTGCTTACTCTCCACACCGTAGCCTTGCATATCATCTCGGAAATTCTCAGATAGATGATATCCTCAATTGTCCTGATAGACTATCAGAGGATATTATAAGATGCATATCTTCGATTTACTGTAAATTTGCCAACCCGAAACCAGCTCAGAAAGGCTATTCAGTTTCTTCGGCTTCATCATTCTGCTCCTCTAGCACATTTTCTCCAAGAAATCATTCTGGCAGTTGGAGTCCTCAATGTAATGATGAACATTTAGAGCGTAGGGATTTTGAATGCCTAAAACAAGAGAATGGACCATATGCTGGAATGATAGAAATCCGAAAGATATGTTTAGACAATGAGAGTTACAATTATGCTGCTACAATGCTACAAAAATTCAGGTGTCAATATTTACCAGTTCATTTCAATTCAGAACTGGAGCTTACCTCTCCCTCCCCCTCCCCCTCCCTCCCACCAATATTTTCTCTTATTAGCATTATACATTCTATAAGATCAGTCAATATTCTCGATGAACTAATGGCTATATATAATTAGGAAAATTGTTCGTCAAAACATTTTCTAGTGATGAATCATCTTTATCCTTATGTAAGTTCCCACTTGTTTTAATTAAAGCTGTGCAGGTATCTTGTTAAGGGTCTTGAGAAGGTTGACCCAAAGAAGATTAGAAGGGAAGAGAAGCTTGCCTTTTGGATCAATATTCACAATGCCTTGGTGATGCATGTATGGCTTGTGGAACTTCTATCTAGTTTTACTGCAAAAGCCTATGGGCTATGAGGCTATAACTGAAAACTTCAATTTATCCTGTGCAACTTTTTTATCTTTCTTGCAGGCTTATTTGGCATATGGAACTCAAAACTACATAAAAAGTACTTCCATCATGAAGGTAAAAATGGGTCTTATTTTTTCGATCTCTTTTTAGTGGATTTTATTACATAGATCTGATTGTTTCAAGTGCAAAGCTTTCTCTCAGGCAGCTTATAATGTGGGTGGATATTGCATAAATGCTTACGACATACAAAGCTCCATTTTGGGAATCCGACCACACTATTCATCACCGGTATATACCTGTTGCTTAACGTGTCTTCACATAAATTATAGTACATGCATAATGTATGCTTGATATAAAGACTGTTTAATGTAGTTCCATCTGCTTATTGTTTGATCACTGTATTAAGTTGGATGATCGTTATTAAAAAATTTTGATTTGTGCATATTACATATTTAGCATCTTCACTGACAAAATAACAATGTCTAAATTCAGTGGCTTCAGACACTTATCTCTCCTGGAAAAAGGTTCAAGACAGGGAGCGGCAAACATCCTTATTACATTGAATACCCTGAATTGCTTGTTCATTTTGCGCTTTGTTCAGGGGCAGAGTCGGACCCTGCGGTAATGCATTTATTCATACTTTTTCATTCTGGAATGGGTTACTTCCTTTGTGAACTTATATGTGGACTTGACTGGATGTAGGTTCGGGTTTACACGGCAAACAATGTATTTCACGATCTTAACGTCGCTAAGGAGGAGTTTATAAAAGCTACAGTATATGTTCATAAAGAAACAAAATTATACCTGCCAAAAATCCTTTCCTATTATGCAAAGGGCATGTCACTTGGCATGACCGCGCTTTTGGAAATGATCAGTGAGTGTCTATCTGGAGTTCAACAGAAAGCTATTCGAATGTGTGCCAAAAATAGGCCTGAGAAGTACGTATACTGGTTAGAGCAGAGTTCAGCTTTTCGATATTTAATCCATAAAGAAGTTTCTGATGGAAGATGGGCTGCTTGATTTTTTTAATTTCCAATGTATTATGGATTCGAAATGAGTTTTCTCCCTGTGATTATGAAGCATAGGTTTTCCTGGAGTAATAATTCTCATAAGTTCATCTTAAAATGTATATAGATAAATGCAGGTTTCGTTTGCCATTGGTTCGTCTAATCCCGAAAACTGCTTCACTTTTGAACTTCTTTTTCGTCTTCTTTTCTTTGTTATATATACATGTGCTGCCTGGACGTGTATAAAGGATCATCCATTAGTAGATAGTGAAGCTGTTTTGTCCACTTTCTACATGTTTATTGAATCTTTGTTAGGTACTCGTATGCTCTCTTAGGTTCAGGGGCGAAGGTGGGGGGGACCTGGACCCCCCCCCCAATTTTTTGACAATAATTTTTTTTTTTTAATTTTTTGGGCTCAATTTTTTTTTTTTTTAAGTTTTCTCCTAACTAATCCAGAATTTGTAAGATTACAATGCCTTTGTGAACTTGTTCAAAGTTGGTTCGACAAAAAAAATGAAGTATATGTTAAGTTTTCGTACATTAATTTATATTCCGTTGTTTTCTTTCTCTATTACAAAGTACTAACTTTCTTCATTTTAACACATAATGTTTCAAAAAAAAATTTCGGGGGCCCCCGTGAGTCCCCACCCCTTTAACTCCGGGACCCCTCTAGTTCATCGAGCTGGCTCCGCCCCTGCTTAGGTTGTTTCTTGAAGGGCATTTCGCAGTTTTGTGCTTATGGCATTAAGTTGATGGGGTCGAGTAAAGCTTATTATTCAAGAATTTCGGAAAATAATTCACGACCTTATCGACTAATGTATTTGAGTGTCAAGTGAAGATTTTCATTTGTAAAATTGGTTATTTGTAAATTCTTTACTTCATCCATTAGTGATATTGACTGCTGAGGATCAAAGCGACGTTTTTGCATCAAGAAACCATAAATGCCAAAAAGAAAATACTTGTGTGAACATATTCTCTCTTTGGTTAACTCATCCACTGTTGGCAGGATCACTATCTTCCTTCACGTAAGAGAATTTTTAACAATTTTTGTATTTGATGCAAAAATTTCATAGGACGACTGTTCAATCCTAGTCTGGATGTGCTCAGCAATTGATTGGATCCCAATTCTGCCACTATAATCAGAAAGAGTAATGTTATTTAGTATCGTTGGTATTTATGTGACAACGCTTGTGTTTAATTAAAAATAATTTATGACATAATTAATAGAATATATAATATATTGACAGCTAAACTAATTTTCAATCCTATTGGTGCTAAATAACATTATTCAAATAGAGAAAATCACAGCAGAGTGTCTTGAGGCTCCTTCAACCACCTTTTTCATTTGTGTTGCTTTGGTCATTATGTTCGAATTTGGGTGTAACTCGAATTCCTTGTTGAAATAATTAAAAAATTGTAATTGAAGTCCACATAAAAAAGAATTTAGTTTGGAATTTTATTGCAGTCCTATGTCAAGTTGAAATTCTATTTTGGAAACTCATTAGGTGTTGAAATTTGTTTTGGACTTAATTTTTTTGGTAGTCTATTTCATCAACAACTTTGCTATGAGGGTTTGGACATCCCCCACATGTTCTCTATAAATACTAGGTTCTTCTATACAAATTTAAGATGTGAGAAAATATATTACTAGAATTATATTATCTATTGTAATTTTTTCTCTCTTCTCCATTATTCTTAATCAATAAATTTCTTGATTCCTCTGTCATATTCTTATCTTTATTATTCTTTTGTTTGATCATATATTTCATTATCATTTGTCATATAATTTCAACATCTCAATCTGGTGGATTGTTTCACAATAATTGGTATCAGAGTTATTCTGGTATCTTGTTTGTTTTGCAACAATTGGTATCAGAGTGCTAGGTTCAGCAGTTCTGCAAGAGCGCAATGTTTGATTTGTTCGAGGTTTTTAAATCGTTATGGCTTCCATGAAATATGACATTCTGCTTTTGGATCAAAACACTAGATTTTCACTAGAGCAGGTTAAGATACGTGCGGTACTCGAACAACTGGATATGGATGATGCGTTGCTCGGAATTGACAACCGCGGAGTAGAAATTACGGAAGGATAAGAAGACAGTTTCTCACATTCATCTTCATATATCAAATACTATTCTTTAGGACGTTTTGAAGTAGAATTCAGCATTTGTTTTATGGTTGAGATTGGAGCAATTGTGCATAACTAAAAGTCTAACGAGCAAGTTGAACCTCAAGCAACATTTATACTCTCATTGAATAGCAGAAGAAGGATCATTGGAAGATCACTTAACAGTATTTAAGGAATTCATCGCTGATTTGAAAACTTTGGAAGTAGAGTATGATAAAGAAGATTTGGCCCTAATCATATTGTGTTCGTTACCCGATTCATATTCTTCATTTAGAGACACGATCTTATATAGTCGTGATACTCTCACCATAGAAGAAGTGTATGATGCTTTATATTCAAAAGAGAAGATGAAGCATCTGGTTTTTTAGGCCAGATATGGAGAAGGCCTGGTTGCTTATGGTGGTTTTGGAAGTGGCAGATCGAAATCTAAATTCAGTAATTAAATTTGTAACAACTGCAAGAAGAATTGACACTTAAAGAAGGATTGCTACAAATTGCAGAATAAAGAAATGATGACTGGAAGTAGATAATCATATACTTCAGGTGAAGTAGACCTCGGGAATAACGTTATAAGTGATGGAGATCTCTTAGCTATTTCTGACATTGAGTCTAAACCGTAAAATGATTGGATTCTTGATTCAGCATGTGTGTTTCATATGTGTCCTAATAAGGATTTGTTTGCTACATATGAAACTGTTTCCAAATATATTGTAGTCATGAAAAACAATGCCTCTTGTCGGGTTGCTGAAATTACTACTTTCAGATTAAAGCTTTTAGATGGGACAATAAGAACACTTGGCCAGGTTCAACATGTTCTAGATTTGAAGAAAAATCCCATTGTATTCAATTGTTAGGGACAGACATAATGGAAAAGGGTATGTAGATGCTGATTTTGTTGAGCGTACTTTAAGTGGAGTGGAATGTGTACAATCTAGCAAGAGGCCTTCTTTAAAAGCATTTGAGTGTAATTCTATTTTGGGATGTGTTACAGCCTATTTTGATTAATTTAAAATCATTATGATTTTTTAAGAATTTGAGATAATTCTACAGAGTAATGCTTGAATTCATTGGAAGATGTGGAGTTGTATTTTGTTGGAGAAATTAATTTTTTGGTTATTATTGAAGAATCCAGTTCATTCCTTAGTGAAATTCGTGTCAATGTGGAGATTGTTAGAATTTGGGTGTGACTCAAATTCATTATTGAAGTAATTGAAGAATTCTAATTGAAGTGCACATCAAGAAGAATTCAATTTGGAATGTTATTGGAGTCTTATGTCAAGTTGAAGTTCTATTTTGGAAACCCATTAGGAGTTGAAATTTGTTTTAGACTTGATTTTTTGGTATCCCATTTCACCAACAACTCTGCTATGAGGGTTTGGACATTCCCTACATGTTCCATATAAATACTAGGCTTTTCTATTCAATTTTAAGGTGTGAGTAAATAGATTAATAGAATTATATGATCTATTGTAATTTTTTCTCTCTTCTCTATTATTCTTGGACAATAAAATCTCTTAATTCATCTGTCATATTCTTGTCTTTACTATGTTTTTGTTTGATCATCTACTTCATTATTATTTGCCATATAGTTTCAACAATCCGGTGGTTTGTTTCACAACAATTGATATCAAAGTTATTCTGGTATCTTATTTGTTTTACAACATGTTATTTCTGCTAGAATATGAACATTTGTGACTAATCTAAAATTAGTGGGTTTGAATATCGAAATTACCTTTACAAAAAGTCTTACAAAAGAATCCTACTTTGAACATCTTGTACATATATACTCTATTTATTTAACAATATGCTCAACCTAATGGATCTCATCATTCACTTACTTATCAAGTCATTACAAATGACTAAGGCAAAAGCTATCCACTTATTGTCTCCTAACTAGTCGTAAAAGTTAGCATTGGTTGTCACTTCTGCTATGTCCTATGCTTCCCAAATTAGATACTCAACTTTCTCCAATGTATCATGTTGAGATTACTGGAGGTGATTTATATGCTAACTTCTTTACTAGAGTGTGGATCCTCGTTAGATCTTTACTCACTTCTAGTATACTTCATTGAGTCCAATTGTCATGTTATAAATTTATTTTAGTGCATTGGATATTCGTGCTAGTCTACTTCATGAGGGCATATTTGTTCTTAGGGGAACTAAGAAAGCTGTGATCTATATGCTAAGATCGAAATAAACAAAAAGAAAGTGGAATGTCGACGATTCAATGGGTTTGGAAATGGTGGTTGCAGCGGCAGGTGGAGGTGAATGGGAGTGACAGTGGATACTTCTTTTAGAGTACAGTTTGGAAATGAATAGCGAATTTTAAATTGGGTATAAAAATATTTAGAAAATGAATAGATATGAGACAACGTTAAAATCATTTTTTTAGGGAAATCTCTACTAAGAATTCAATAGGTTTTTTTGTGAGGAAAAAAAAATTATTTGGAATAAAAATATTTTAGGAAAAATTTAGCAAAATCGTGTATTTTAAGTTTGATTATCACTAATCACGTCATTAGGCCTCTGTTTGGATTTCATTTTTTTCAAAACTCGTTTTCAACCACACATTTAGTCTCATATAAAATAATTTTATACATAATTTCAATTTTTTTTCCTATTTTGTAATCACACATTCTCCGAAAAATCGTTATTTCAAAACATATATTCCTCCAAAAATTGGAGTCAAACAGGGGTTAAGATTTTATTTTTTTAAAAAAATGGTGGTAATTGTGTTTTTAAAGATATAAAATATATATTATAATATTTATAAAAATAAATTATCGAAAGTTTAGTTATTAATTCCTAAATTAAAGATAACTAAATAAGGATAATTAACATATTTTTTTCCCCATTCCATTATCACTAATACTATATAGGAGTCT